AAGAGGAACCGAGGGAGGGTGGGGACCATACAACTGAAGGAACAAAAGACTTCTCCTAGGATTGTCACCTCATAACACAGACTGCTCACTACCAACACATCTACGCCGACTGGTGCATTGCAGGGTAAATCGGTATTTTTATACACATTAGGTTACAAAACTATACTTTGAGAGTTTACACAAAGGCACCGTCTCTAGGCGACTCCTCTCCCACCCCTACTCGCACTTTCTCTGCTCGTCCCACCGACGACCGTCGCGGCGCTAAGAGGACGTACAAATAAGACGGATACGTTTGGTTTATTTTCCCGGTGGGCAGGGGGGGTGGTTCATGTATCCATCATTGGCTGGGTCGGGGTGGGAGGTTGAGGCATGCAACAGTTCAGCATCCATGGGGGAGTGACAAAGCGAGTGTGTGTGTGGGGGGGGGGGTTAGCATGCACATACTGTGGAGTAGAAGGTCAATGCAACAGCACACAGATGGCCACAGTCACACTATGAGCACATCATAAGATAAAATAAAAAATGGACATCCAAGTATAGTTACTAATATTTTTCATAATGTCAGTAAAGTCATTGTCCTACAAAATGCATAAAAATCACGTTTTAAATTGGTAAAAGCAGGGTATTTATTGGCATATCAGAAAGGGCATTCATCTTCTCCATTTAGTGCAACACATTGCAAACATATTTATGATACATTGTTCATTCATGTAGATGGAAATAGCTGTCTTAAAGTTGTATTAATCCCTAAGAACAGAACAGGGGAATACAGTTAAAGTGTGACCATCCAGAAGATACTTTCCTAAAATGACCAGCTGACATCTGTGTTTTTATTGTTCCCCTATGGAATGAAGACATTTTTGAGTTTCTGGAACAGTACCGGATGAAGTGATGTGTGATACAGGGGCACAGCAAAATGAACCATTAAACATAACAAGCAGCATGATAACTGTTAATAACTAAATAATGTTACCTGATGTATCAAGTGCAGTATTTAGCGACAGTAGATCTACGGTTACAAAGCAGTTTATAGTCTCACCTCCCCACATTTCTTTTGCACACATGACCACAAAGAAAACGTTGGTCTTTTTAATTAAAAATAAAACTTACAATATTTGTTTGGAAAAGAGACAAAATGCTGTAATGTTCTGCAAACATGTACTTTGTAAACAGCTAAGCAGAGACTACTATGGGGCAGATCCATGGTACATTTTCAGAATACAAACCATCTACAGTATAAGCTAAGACATCTTGCACTCCTCTTTGACCTTGCCTTTGCTTTTCTTGCTGTTCTTCCTCACATCCTTCCCTGCCTGCTGGGGCTCTGTATTGCTGCCCACTTGTTCTGAACCCTTTGGTAAATCAACATGTTCCCCCTGGACCTGCTTAATGGCTTCTAACCCTTCCTCTACAGGCAGGGACATCGCCTGGTGAACGTCCTCTGCAACACCCCCCGCCTCTCCAACACTCTGAACCTTTGCTTCCTCTGCAATGCCCCTGGGCTCGTTTGCTACACTTACTTCCTCCTTTTCCCACAAATATTCCCCCTTTTCCAAAGCGCCATCCTCCTGAGCTGAACAGTTTTGTGGCGGAGTCTGGACGCCTGAGCTGCTGCTTTCATCTGGAACAACTTCGACTCCCTCCTCCACTTCTTCTTCCGGTTGGTGATTCCTAGGGAGACTTTCACCTTCAGCCGGCTCCAAATCCATGTCATCAAAATCAAAACAATGACCTTCATCCTTTTCATCGTCCTCTTTCTCATTGCATACCTGCAGTGTTAGCTGAGATGGAATGTCTTCCATGGGTTCATGCAGTTGCTGTATCTTGCTTTGCTGATCATTTGGATTGTTATTATGTTCTGGATCTTCTGCCATGGTGAATTCTTCAGATCTGTGATCCTGCTCCATAATCGACCCATTTTCAGGAGCTTCTTTTGGAACATCTGGTGTATTTACTGTCTCAGTGGTATTGATCTCTGATTTAGGGGTCAGGTTAGCATTGGATTTGTCAACATGAACCTCACACTGTGCTGTCTGGCTTTCTACATCATCCAGCTGTTCTGCTTGCACTACAGTCTCCAACAGACTCTGAACAGTGTCGATTGCATCCATGTTTGTTACAAATGATGGACTGCTTAGACTTTCTTTATTTTGGTCATGTAATGGGTCTGTTTGGACTAAACCTTCAGATTCGCTCAAGCCTCTGTTCAGCTCCTTCTCTGTTGTGTCTGCCGTTAGCTCTGCTTCATCATTACTGGGAAACAGGACACTGGGAGATGCTTGTGGTTTGTCTTCTTCAGTCTGTATTCCTGGGTCCTCATCATCTTTGATTGTCTCAGTTACGTCTTCTGGACCTCCATCAGAGACCTTGTCCTCGCTGGCCGAGTTCTCGCCTGCAGACAGCTCGAAGCCAGACGAGCTCCTGAGAGAGTCAGTAAAGCCATTGGTAGAAGGTGGGGACACAGATGTTTTATCATTACTCTCAGCTTTGCTTGTGGGTTTAGATTCCTCAGCAGCCATGTCACCATTGATTGGATTGTGCGATCCAGCTTCGGCGTTTTCCTTGACGATGCTTTCAAACGTGTTTTCTGGGATATTAGGTGTGCATTCTGATTTCATCTCGTCAATAGGCCTAACCCTATTTTCCGCACTATTAACAATTTCTGACTCAGCCTGGATGAGACTGTCATTAGTTGAGATGTCACTTTTAGAGGCATCTACGCAGGAAGTGCACTCTTTGTTAAGATCATCGGGGCTCTCAGTACCAAGGTTGGTCTCTGGGACAGATCCCATTTCTTCTACTCTCCGTGTTTCTAAAGGTTGTTCCTGCTCGTCCTTGGAGATGGGATCTGTTCTGGATTGCTTGAGAGTTTCAACGTGAGAAAAGGTTTCAGCGGGTGCCACTGCCTCTGCTGCTTTTACGGTTTCCAAGCACTGTTCATCTTTAACATGATCCAGCCTCACTTCTGCAGGGGTTGTGACGTGAGAAAAGGTTTCAGTAGTTGCTTCTTCTACCTTTTCCATTTCTAAAGTGTGTTCCTTGTCACACTCATCTGTAACATGATCCCTTCTTGAATCTCTTTGAGTGTCATTGGGAGAAAGGGTTTCAACAGGTTCCACTTCTTCTACTTTTTGCCTGTCCTGCACATTCTTTACTTGATGCATCCCTGATTCTTCGAGGGCTTCAGCGAAAGAACTAAGAATTTCAGGTTCTGTCGTTAGCTCATTATCTTTTGTAGTCAATTCAATTTTCACCTCTGTTTTGTCCTTTTCTTTATTTGCTCCATCCCTTTGTTGGTTCCCATCTTCTTGTGTCCCCCCTTTCTTTTTACCTTTCCTCTTCCTTTTCTTCTTTTTCCCTGGAGCAGCAGCGCCCTGAGGCTGAGAGTTACCTGATATCTCCTCAGTTTCTATGTGCTCTGCCTCTTCAGAGTTCTCCGGCTCTGGTTGAGCTTCTGTCTTTGACTCAGCTGGTATGGACTTCTCTGTCCCAACATCTTGTGCAACCTCTTGCTCAGGACATGATTCTGTATTTCTCAGATGACGTTCCTCAAAATCTTCCTGTTTGTTTTCTTGCTCTTTCAAAAGGTTGTTGGATGACTCTCTAATGTCATCACTGTGTGTGTCTACACTATTGATTTGGCTTCCTGTCTCCCCTGAATCTAGGTTATTGGTCCATCCTAACTCTTTGCCCTCAGACATTACTGTTTCTGTGACACTTTCCTCAGAACTTGTGACAATGCCCTGAAGTTCAGGGCTACAAATGATTATATCTTTGGACTCTGTGACCGACTGGTCATTAATGTCAACATTCAAGTCCTTCCTAAGGCCAGGTTCTTCAACACCATCTTCTTCTGTGGCATTCTGTTGTCCTTGTGTTGGCTGTTCCTCCCCAGATGCTTCCATAGTGCTCACACCAGAAACATTACAGAGTGCTTCAGAGCTAAAGAGATTCTCTTTGGCTTCCTCAAAATGTTCTTGTTGCTGCTCTGGATCCACCTCTTCCTCCTCGCTACTTCTCAACAGTGTCTCCTCTGTGTTGCCTGAGAGTTAATGAAGAGTATACGGTGAAGTAAAACATTATTTTTGAAATTTAATCTTCATGAGGAAGTGCATGAGCAGAAGTCAATGTAAGGCAGAACGCCTGATTGATTCAAGAAGAGAAGCACAGAGCCAAGGTGGCCAAGAGGAGCGGAGAAGAGAAGAGGCAGGAGGAACACCGAAATGAAGATCTTGATCCCCAGCACATCAATGCGACAAGAAAAGAAGTCTGAAGCCAACAGATCAGGGAATACAGTACAGCAGATACATAAGTATGTTCCTTACATATACTTTTTGCTAAAAAGAGCTCTGATTTCGACCATCAGCCCTTTAGTCCTTGCAGAAATGACACACCTACACCACCTGCATTAACAGATGAGTTGTGATTCAGAAGAATATGCATTAGCTGAGAAAATAAGAAGGTGCAGCAGAAACGATTAAAAGCAAAGACATTAGTAATGATGACAAAACAGGGTGTTGCCAAGTTAGTGAGTGGAAGGTTAGTTTGTACAGGAAAGCATGAGGTCAGATAGATGATGCTTGAAGGGTACGTCTGGCAATTCTCTATAAATGTTTTCTTGATAAACAGACTATATAAAGTTAAATAATCAATGAGTCCATCTCTCACTGCTTACAAGGCCAATGGCTCCTTATAGAGACATACCAAGCACAATGATTTTCTAATACGGCCAGTCTCTGTAGTGTTTAGCAACTCAAATATACTCACACTGGACCTAATGGTACTATTTTCAGCTGCAGACTCATACACATTTGGTGCTCTACTAGGTATTTACATGTTCAGGAATGGCTCATTGATGGTTTTGAATATTTGAGGTAGGAGATATATCAGGCTGACACACAGTCCAGTAGGATCAAGTCGTTGCTGATCTGGTATTTACAATGACAAAAACAATGTCCGTTTAGTAGTTCAGAACTAACACTTTCTCAGCAGACTTCTTCCATGGTAGGTGGAAACACATCTCTATTGTTCTGAGCAATAGTGTAGCAATAGTTGAGATTACAAGTTTCAGAACAGAGTTGAATTTGGAGGTGAGATTCTCTTATCCGTCTTTTCTCAGGTTTATGTGAAGAAAGAAAAACACAGAATTTTACCAGACGTCTCCTTTCAGGACATAGCAAATGAGAGTTAAAGCACTTGACATTCCAGCAGCACAGCACTGTACCTGAAGAGCTCACTCGCAAGTATTCAGATATAAATGCTGTCATCTTGGTATTCATTGTTTCATTATTGTTTTTCATCACTTCTCTGAAAAGCATTTAGAAATGAAACTCTTCAGACAGTTTTGTGCCGTGCCATGCAGTGAGCAGTTTTTATTGGGTAGTGTGTTTTACCGAGCATGCTGTTCCCCTCTGTTGGGGGGGTCTGACAATCCTGAGCCAGGGGGGAAGCAGGGTCTGCACCGGGGGTCCCGTCAGCTTCTGTCTCAACAACTTCTCCATTGATGCTTAGATCAGGTCCCAATACTATACCATGTTTCTAGAAAAAACGAAAAGTCAAACATGACACACCTGCAGCCCGAGCGGAGTGACACCTTCAACACATCGGTACTTGTCATTCTTTTCTACCTTGAATGAACAACATTTACATTTAAACCTTTAGTTTCTGCAACAACAATTGCAAAATGTTTCAAAAGAGTTTTGAAATGTGCTTCCCAGAATGTGGACACATGAAGCGGAATAAGCCCTCTCACACGGAGTACCTTCAGAATGTCTTTCAGGTTCACCACCTCCTCTCTGAGCTCATCTCGCTCCATCCGGATTGCATCTGTGTATTCTTTCTGTCGCTCTAAGGCCTGAGCGGAGCGCCAGGTGGCAGAGTGTCAAAGAAAGTGAAGAAGGAAAAGTGCACAAGAGGTGGAAAGAAGTGAAAGTAAAAGCTGACATTAAGTTGAATGCAAAGGAAATGCTGAATTCATGTTGGCAGAAATAAATGCTGAGTGTGTCAAACACAGAGCTGCTACACCAGGGCTCATAGGCCGTACCCCAATCTTTTTATCCTTCCACTCCACTGTCTCCTGCAGGTCACATATTTCTCTATTCAAACCTTCCTGTTTGATATGCAGCTGACGGATGTCCTAAACAGCAGGGAAAGGAAATCAGGTTTCAGATGCAGAGAGAGAAAGCTGAAAAAGGATTCATGCATATACAGTGTGGGAAAAAGAGCATGCTGTGAAATGTTCCACGTGCAGCCGTTCTGCGGGACTAACGGAGTAAAAGACAGCCGTTCTCTTTTCTGTCTTTCTGAACCAATGGAAGGCTCCATTTCACTTGTCTTAGTGACACACAAATACTCACATTGAGTAGCTCTTCACTTTGTTTTAGCGTCTCTTTCATTTCATTGAACTGGAACTGGAGCACAGTGTGGGCATGTTTCTCTCGCTCACATTCCTGTGAGGAAGAAGAGAAGAGAATCCATCTGATACACAGAAACACATGAAGCCCTAAAACCTGACAGGGGAGATGTTGAATCACTGTCGAGTGTGCTGAGAGCTGCGTTATGATGTATAGGAAGCAGTAATTGTTTGATCCACAATGAGCTGAGTCAGCTGCATCTTGAGGGAGCTCTACTCTGCAGTAATTCCACTGGGGGAAAGTAACTAAGTACATTTACTTGAGTACTGTACTCGGCTACATATTTATGCTACTTTATATTTCTATTCCACTACATTTTACAAGCAAATATTGTACCTTTCTACTCACTACATTTATTAATGTGTTAGTTACTTTTGCAGGTAACATTTATTAATACGAAAATAAAAAACATGAATACACTTAACTGTACTGCTATGGATGGAGATTTCTGAATGCAGAGCTTTTACTTGTAACTGAGTATTTCTACGCTGCAGTATTATTACTTTGACTAAACTTTAGGATCCTAGTACTTCTTCCACACGTGTAATTCCATCAAAAATAACACTCCTGTATACTGAATCCTTGTACAGCTTCACCATATTAACGACACGGCAAAGGAGGTTTTGTTTTCAGGTTTGTCTGTCAGCAGGAATACTGAACACTGTCTGGCCATGTTTTCATGAAACTCGGAGGAAGAGAGAACCATGGAAGAACATGTTAAAAGTGTGCAGCAGAACTGAATCACACACTATTTCTCACTGATGGTCAGGGTCTTGGTCAGGTCTGTGCTAGTTTCCATTGAGGAAGAAAGGAGGTATCCCACTATTTTCACATGTTCCTTATGTTAGAGAAAAGAAGGCTTATTTGTAGAACGTTGTCAGTTTTAAGCGTGCCTGCCGTACCTTGACTTTGTCCTCGAAGCCGCGGCGGGACTCAGACAGCAGCTCCTCCAGCTCCATGAGCGAGTCCTTCAGCGTGTCCACCTGGTACATCAGGTTGTTCTTCTCATTGTCCAGCTGAGCGTTGGACACCATGGCCTTACGGTACTTCTCCTCCACTCCCACTAATGCATCCTAATGACATATAGACAACAGGAGAATATTACACATGCTGGCCTTAAAATGGCCTTTTTCTCTTCCCTTCTTTGAGACCAACTTTATGTCAAATATACAATTTAAAATAGGCTTTTTATTTACTGTTTTGCTTAGAGTTATAACAATTACAGAGTTGAATTTCCTGAAGTTAATTGTATTATTTTTAGTACAAATAAAATGTTGATGTATAACTTAGGTCAAGTTTATTTAAATATAGTTAGATCAAGAGGTTAATAGAATTTCTTTAATTGATTTCCATTGTTTTCAAAGTTCTAGCCCACCGTTGAGCACTGCCCGAAAGCAACAAATAGAACATGTAATAAGAGACGTACCTTTGATTTCAGTTAAAAACAAACAGAAAATGGAATTGCCTATAAGCTGTATACTTATCTGTATCTCACAACTGTCAACCACTCGTGAAGAAGTACAGGCAAACACAAACACACAACAAAAAAAAACACACATGAAAGACATGCAACATTCAGATGTAACATTGCCAGTTAAATCAACAGTTAGCAGCTCAAAGCACACGTTGAAATGTCTGCAGGGGGGCTGTAGCTTTATGATGACCTACTCTCATATTGTTTGTTTTTCATTGATAAGAGTTTCCGCTAAAATACATTGTCCTAAATGTGACTCAATAAAACCTACGAGTTTCTTACAACATGCTAGATCAAAGGTGGGGTAGGTAATTTTGGAGAAACCAGCTCGAGTGCGCTAGAATTTGAAAATACACAACCGGAAAAAATCTACCACTTCGTTACAGAGCCCCTCCTCCAACACACACGAACGCGCACATGACCAATGAGGGCACGAGATAAGTTTGTGCACAGATGGATGGCTGACAGGCAGGTAGGCCATCCAGTTATTTTAGCCGGGCCAGCTAAAATGATTAGTCGTGCTTTTTACAGTACTACGGCTTCCACAGATGATATTATTTTATGGATTTTTTGTCAAAGCACTTAAGATATTCATTGCTATCGGGATGCTAAGAGCATTCCATGGAATATAACAAGTGTTTCTGAAATAAATTACATACCCCACCTTTAAGTGATTTCAGCATCTCTTCGTGCCATTTTGAGAGTATTAATGTTCTAATGATTATTGGGATCAAATCATGAATCCCAAGGATTTCGGCCAGGAAAATGGCGACATGAAGCTTTCCTATGGTCACAGTCCCATTGTAGAGCATGAATATTGCTCCTAAATTACCCCTTCACTAAAATACTATTTGTTTCAACTTCAAGAGCCTTCAGATTTTTTATTAAAATGTTGGTAGACGAAAAGGCCATGGGTCATATAACAGTAATTTGGTTGCACATATCACCGCACGTCTAAAATGATCAGTGGGAGTTAGGACATCAACGGCTCAGTTAATAGTGAGTGGGGTTGGGGTAGGGGTGTCACAGGCTGATACCTTGACTTCTTTCAGGTTCTGCATGTACTTGCTCTCCACATCTTGAATCTGATCCTTGAGTTCATGGATCTCCTGGTGTATTGCAGCAGTGAGCAAGGATGAGTGACAGCAGAGAGGAGGACAGAGTCCAGAGGGGGGCAGCAGAGAGGAGGACAGAGTCCAGAGGGGGGCAGCAGAGAGGAGGAAAGAACATCAGCACCAGTGTTTGCAGGGAGAATGGGAAAAGCATGACAGCTGGGAACTTTATGGAAGAACTTTTTACATCAGAGAAAATGAAAGTGAGTGTGTGTGAGTTGCATATCCCTTTCAATATGAAATTGAAACACCCAGTTTGGACACATGCCCCTTATGTCTTCTGGTCTGGGGGGAGACATTACTATTACTCTCTACAGTGGCAGTCTCAGTATCAGTTTGACAGTAAGAGCTGCAACTTACAATTATTTACATAAGCAATTCATTTCCCCATTTACTTCACAATCCTTTAAAATGATGGTTTGGTTTATTAAATTGCAGAAAATAGTGAAAATGCCCCTCCCAGAAAAGTCTCGTTTTGTCAGTATAAACCCTAAACTCTGACAACAGCAGAAACGTTTCTATTATCAAAACAGGACCACAATTCCAAATGCTGGAAGTCTTCAATAAGGTTTTAATTATGTTTGGTCCAATAAGGAATTAACAAATAAGTATTGTTCAACGTGAAACTGTTTGCAATGTTATTATAATATTTCATTTCCTATTTCCTATCTACACACAGTAGATGTATGGACATTTGTAAGCGTCATCTGGCCCGCTCTATTTGACTTTACCTTAATTTCCCGTATAGACGTCTCTGTATCTACGGTTATAGCCGTCTCACCACTTCCTCTGCGAGAGGAAGTCCCGCCTAACGAGGTGAGGGTGGCTGCTGTCAGGGCAGAAGCTGCTCGAGATCCCTGAAAAAGAGAAAATCTATCTCAAAATGACAGCAGCATCATAGATGCAGTTGAGAAAAAACATATTAACTGTTTTTCCAAAGATTATAATCTCAGAATTCTAAAAATGTAATTTCACAAAATGAACCTTTCAGGAGAGCTTCTATTAGGATTGATCAGAATGATAAGAGCAAAAATAATCTAGAAAGAACAAATACAATCCAAACACATTACAAGACCCCCCATCATTATTCTTCTTTATCTGATGTAACTTTATGTATCCTTAGTAAAAAAAAACAGATAGGTCATGTGATCTACTCACCTTCTCAAGATAATCTCTGTCCTCCACCTGTGGAGACAAAAATAAGTCAGACAATGCTCCCTGCAGGGATACCATTCACCTGGACATCTCGTAAAATAAACCAAACAATACCTCTACATGTTCCAATCTGCTCTTTCACTTGCATTTCCAGAAAAGACAAGTTCACTTGTATAAACAACACCATGCATTGTATTAGTACAGGAGGAGACAAAACTGTCAGATACCATCCAATCACCAAATGTCTGAGTCTGACAGTGTTCCTTTCAACAACAGATCATGTGTTTCAAACACAGCTCATCTTCAGGTTGGCTCCCTGCCACAGCCACAAAGTCAACACACAGATGAACCTGGGACACAGACACAATTAGCCCTCCTTGTTGGGCAAAGTGCACAAGGAGGGAACACGGTTGCAGAAAAAGCAACAAAGCAGGAAGTCAGCTCACATCACGGCGGCGGCCTCCTGCGGGGGCAAAGCCACACACATCAGAAAGGTCAGGAATAGTGACATCATCCAGGTCTCGGGGGAGGCTGCTGCCGCCCGCTGCACTCCTCAGATAACTGGCCACAGAGCCGCAGTGGTCCTGCAAACGTCCACCAGGGGGCACAGAACAATAAATGCACATTTCCAAATTGTGGAAACCATGCCTCGTCTGAGTCAGTGTAACATCCTCAAAGAAAAGTCAAATAAGGTCAGACAATTTGACACCAAAACTTCTTTATGTGCAAAGCTCTTTAGATAAGATATATTGTACATATTTCTTATAATATATTTGCCATTTTTATTGTAATTTTACCTACTTGTATAATTGTTTCATATTTGTTATGTATTTTTTCTACTTTATATTAATGTTTAAAATGTATACAGCACCATCACATGTTGCACTCAACTGATCTGTGTCTGTTTGTGGTACAGTTTCTTTAAGCTGGTCATAGACCATGTCGTAACAAAGCACTGATGCCAAGTAAACTCTTGTTGCTACCAGGGTGTCGGGGGGGGCCTCACCACTGGGCTGGTGCGGGCTGACCCGGCCCTGGAGGAGACCCTGGAGCCGGAGCTGCGACAACTACTGTACTCTACAGGCTGAGAGAGAACACAGCGTTATGTTCCTGTGTACAGCCGTAGGAAACACACACACACGCATGCACATACCCCCACAGAACCAGAACCATGCTGCAGAATACTGAACACCGTCCACTCAATGTCAAATCTACATACCATTTCATTAAGTCACTGAAAAATCAACACTCCACCCACAAAATATCCCTTTATCGATTACTCACCCCGAGTTACCTTGAAATTGGAAAAAAATGCAGCGTTATCTTCTTTGTTCACAGTGGAGTTATATACAAAAAGAACACGTGGTGCTAAATTGATATAATAAAAGGTCATTATGATGGGGAAGTATTTATTTAACCTTAAATTCCAACTCCCATGCAGCAGCAACAAATAAATAAAATCCCGGAGTGCAAAGGGTGTTTACTTTATTCAATTATTAATGTAAATGTATTACATCAAGGGAAGAAAATTAGGCAGAAAAAAAAAAGAAATAAATTAATTAAAAAAAAGTTTTTCTCCCAGCGCAGCGCCCTTCCAGATCTGGCGCCCTAGGCGACCGCCTGGTTATATGCACTGTTCTTGTGACGGTTGACACTCCTCACACAAAACAACAAGGCCACGATCCTCAGAGAATCTTACGAGTGAGCAGGAGCTGCTGCCGCGCTACAACCCGCTGTCTTCCTACAGGGAGCTCTGCGCACACACACAGTGAGGGGTCATGCTGCACAGTGTGATCACACACTCTTACACAGGATACTCTCAAAGTGAGGGACATCAACACGCAGTGCATTTAAAACGTGAAAAAGCTCAGACCGCTTCATCATTACATCCTGTTCTTAATTAAAACAAGCTTAGTTTCATGTGTTCTTAAGCACGCTGGTGAGGGAATGCTAACTGCAAGTGTTATTTAACACTGTGTAAAAGTTATATGCTGGGAATAAATGGGACCAACCCTACGAAAGAGCTGCTGAGAGACGTAACTGAGTGACCTGTAGAACTGAACAGAGACGAGGTTCAGGTCTGAAAGGCTTGAAACGGGTTGTGATAACTCAAGTATGAAACATGATTCAAGTGATTTATTCTTCCCCCCCACAGAGAGGTGGAAGGTTAGCTAGCAGCCACAGAGCAGCAACAACTGTATTTCTCACTGTCTACAGACCTGGTAACCATTGTAAGTGGAGCCGGGGTTTCTGGCAGAGGACAGACCATTGTAGCTGTACAGGTCAGAGGAAGAGTAAGAAGTCTGAAATTAGGAAAGAGGAAGAAGCGAGCCAACAGAAGGAGGCAGAAGGGAGTGGGGAAAACAGACAGGAAGTTCAGAAACATATTTTTAAACATATCCAATTCTTAACAAAGTATAACAGATAGAATCGGAGGGACGAAACCCTCTTTAATGGTCACACATGCAGAGCACACAGCACACAGTGACATTTGGCCTCATTTAACCCATCCTAGTACTAGAAGCAGTGGGCAGCTATTGTACAGCTATGGGAGTGAGGGGGGAAGGGGGATATCCGGTGCCTTGCTCAAGGGCACCACGGCAGGGCCCAGGAAGTGAACTGGGACCTCTCCAAGTAGCAGTCCACACTCCATATTTAGGTCTGGTCGGGGACTTGAACCAGCGACCCTACGGCTCAGAGTCCAAGCCCCTACTGACTGAGCCACTGCCGGACACCATGCTCCCGACATTCTGTTGCCTTTAATAGAAAGCAAAGAAAAGGAATCCATATGCTTGACAAATGGCTGGACTGACAAAGAAAAGTGCTTTGCTAACAGTTAAACACAAAAGTATTCCAAAAGCAGTCACAGTCCTGAGTCTCTTGGATATACAGCACACACACCACAGCAATGGGGAAACACATGCACCCAGATGTGTTCTTACCATGGATTGATGAGAAGATATTTAGAAGTGCACTACAGGCCTCAATAAATACGATACTTTAATCAAAACAATGAAAACGTTCCCAGGTCTTAAGCAGTTGAAGTGTTAATGAACAGGATTTCAGACAGTGTGCACCCAAAGCCATTATTGTTGTGAGAAACAAACAGTCTGAGTGCAGAGCCACCCACCGGCTGCAGGTCTAATCTGGAGCCCCGAGACCCCCGGGGGTCATCACTCAGTCTGGAGCTCTGCGGTTTGGGGGGGGGTCACAGAAAGCATCAAACACCGACACCTCAAAAACTAAAAGGCCCTTCTTCATACATCTCACACAGAACATGCCGTTAAGTTATAATGTCATTACTTTCAATACTTCAGTAAAATACAACATACATCTAGAATACAAATAAAAGGGTAATAGTAAGTATGATTGTGATCTGTATATGTACTTGTTGAACTTTTCCCTTTCTTTGATTTATTATTTACCAGCCCTTGTCAATTTCTTTGTTAAATTCTTACATTGAGAGATGAACTATTTATATTTTTGACACTATAAAACTTATTCAACATACATTTAGATACAACATACATTCAAATTACATGCAGTCATTTCCCAATAGGATTTGAGGTCTTTGGCCAAAAACGATGCAAGTGAATAACTCACGGCATGGCTTTAGCTCTTTGCCCTCCGCTTTAACTTTGTTAGCTTGTCACTGTGTAATTCATATTGATTTAGTTTACTTTAATATTTATGCCACATCAAAGAACCAGGTTAGACAAGAAAGGAATTACTAGATTAAATTACGGCCGTTTCTGTGTCTTCTGTCTACAGAACCAGACTAGACCAGTTTCAAAATGGTTCTCTCTATTGCTCAATTAGATACAAAAACAAAGGAAAATAGGGTCCAGGTTCAAATATACCAACGTTAACATATGAAATGTTTTGTGCAATCACTGTACCGCTGTTCAGCGATTAAGACAAGAGGACCAACACGCACCGTGAGGTCCAGCCTGGAGGAGCGGGAAACTCTGCTCTCATCACTCAGTCTGGAGCTCTGACAGCAGGACACACAGGAGCAGCATGAGGACACGCTCACATTGTCTAGAAAAAGCTACAACAGACCACACGTCTGAACCATCAGTCGCACACACACACAGCTACTGACCCTGCTGGACAGGACACTGTGATCATCATCAGGCCCGTTCCTCTGTGAACACAGAACACGAGTGAGAAACTCTGGAGTCATGTCTGTGTGGGATTTACAGGACACTGAGCTTCTACCTACGTCTCTGTGCTTATGTTTCTTCTTTCTCTTTGACTTCGTTAGTGAGGAGGAGTCCTTAGAGTGAGAGAAGAGAGTGAGCACAGTGGAGGGTAAGCATCTGAACCAGGGATGTCACCATAACTCAAATGAAGCATACCATAACTGGTGACAATCCACTATTATCAATACCAATTCGATACAACGATGAGAAACTAAAATATGCCAATATACCATGTTCCTAAACACCATTTATTATTGTTAGCAAACTGTTTTTGTTATGTGGTTAAACGGGTAATTATTTCCTCTCTTAAATCTATTTAATATTGCCTTGACAACTATATGTATTCAAGTAACATTTCAACAGATATAATATTCATCTTTACTAAATCAAGATTGAATGCATCGTAATGTAACTAGATGGAACCTGAAGCTAGCAGAACTGTTTCCCACCGCTAGCTAACAGCTAATAGCTAATGTTACCATGGTCATCTCCTGCCAATTCCAACAGGGTTGAATGTGTTATTCACTATCATCAGGGAAGAAATAGGGAGCTTGATGATAGCTAGTTTGCTGTGAGCTTTACACATTTTCAGTTTAGGAATTATGCGTCAGTAGAAAAATGTGTATTTTGTCATCTGTAACTAAAATGGTTGAGGAGGCGTGTGGCGCAGTGGATAGAGCCTTGGTATTGGGATCAGGGGGTCACAGGTTTAAATCCCACTGCAGTCAGCATGTCGTTGTGTCCCTGGGCAAGACACTTCACCCCAAATTGCTCCTGTGGGGATTGCCCACAGTATTGAGTATGTACGTCGCTTTGGATAAAAGCATCTAACAAGTAACATGTAATGTAATAAAAGATTCATACAATGATGTTTTTCTGTTTCTTCTAACTGTTTCGCTGGTAACACCAAAAGCTTTTATTTTAAAATAATTTTAGCAATACTTCTGTCGTCCAAACATGATTTATAAAAGTTTAAGAACAAAGTGATAATGTGCCATGCCATTAATAATATATGATAATAATTGTGATAAAATCTGCAGAATTACCTGAACATGGTCTGCACATTGACAATAGTTTTGGCATCAGCCATGTAGTCTTCTTCGGCACTCATTGTACTCTCTTTATCCACAACCACCAAATTATCAGCGTAGATAATTCCACACTGCAGCAGGCTGTCCAGACTGAAACACACACACACACACACACACGCACACGCGCACGCACGCACGCACGCACACGCACACACACAACAATAACTATCGCATCAGGACATCAATTTTCCTGGGACATGCTGCACATCCAATGAAATCTCAGATGAGTACATAATCTTCTTCAACATGTTGAATGAATGTTATATATAAAAGCAATTTGAAATGAAATGCCGAAGCTCATATGACAGTCTTACTTGTCGATGGTCCCAGCCATGTAGTAGACCATAGGAAAACAGCAGATGGCCTCCAGGAAGTGATTATCCGGCCTGCAGGAAATAAATAACATATGATAGATCTATTTATAAATAGATTCATTTTATAAGCAGTGATGAGCAGTTCTTAATTAGTTTCTTGGGCTACTGCAATTCTCTTTTACTGGTCTCCCTGAAAATAATTGCAATTAATTCAGAACGCTGCGGCCAGGAAACAATCACAAAAAAGGGATCACATTTCCCCTTTGTCGGCATCACTGCACTGGTTACCGGTGTCTTTCAGAAACCTTATTTGGAACAAAATGATGGAACTGACTACCAACTAAATTGGTTAAAATGCAATTTTAATGTTTTCTGATAGAAGTATTGAGTCATTGCTAAAAGAGACACACTACCACCATAGATCCATATTTTATTTTTTAAAGCCTGCTGAAGACAGGTGCTGTTCTTTCTTTTTTGCTGCAAATATTACCCACAGTGCATCCAACCCAGTCTCACAAAAAAATGTGTAATAACTACGTTGGTCCACAACGTAGGACGTAGTATTTCTACAAACGCCTCTGAAATTGTAAGATCCCTACGTTTGTTTTCACCATTCATTCCAATGGCTGGCGTCTATGTCACGTGATCTTCAAATTTCTCCCTGCAGAAAAAAAATCATGGCCAAACTTCGTTTTATTCTCGGTGGAAAATGCCTATTTTAAGGTTAGTTTAGCCATTAAAATGCGTTTTGATGTCAATTGATGCGAGAAATATCCGCTGTTATTTCAGATTATGTGTGCAGTGGATGTACATGATCTTTAGTTTGCTAGTTATTACGAAGATTACTTCAGGAAATTGTGTCCATACAACGTTTTCATTGTTACCAAGGTGGTTGCTAGGGACGCTGCTATCGATATTATTTCTGTTATGTTGTGTAACTGTTTAATGGTGTTATCTTTATTGCTACCCCCTTCCCCGTCCATGTATAGTGTTGGTCCACAGCGCAAACGTATTAGTTTAACAAAATCCGCATCTAAAATTGTGGCATATACGTACGTTATTTTCCCCTGTGCAATTCTCCATTTACTCAACAATAACACATAATTATCCTTGTGTTTATTTATTTGTTTGATTAATAAACACAAGTTGGAGTCCGTCAGGATCAGCAGCTCGGAGCAGCTCATTTGCTTTAGAGAATATTACACCCAGAAGTAAGTATTCTCTCCGCTTCGCTTGACAAACCCCGTGATAGTCCTCAAGCTCTGTAATTGGATGTTTGAGGGTGCTCCGAGGGTTACGCCGAGCGTCGAACAGCACTTGAAATGGTATGGAACCACGGCAGACTTTCCAAAACTGGATTTGAACGGGTCCACCCCGTCCCCCCCTCCCCAGAACTACACATGCTGGCTATTGTGTTTCGCAACATGTTCTCTATGGCACGTCTCTACTGGGAATTGTAGTTTTAAAAGACGTCTTCGTATTTCCCATAATAAGAAGTTGCCAGTATTATACTGTGTACATCCCTGGAGGTTTAGGGGATAGGAAACACTCAAATTTAAAACATATAATTAATAAATGGGTGAAAATGGCTTTTGCCCATAATGGACAGCATTAATATATACCCACATGCCAGCTAAGGTCAGAATAGCTTTATTTAACAGCTGGTCTTATGTCTGTGACCCCTCCTGTTGTTAATTGATAAGCCTGAAACATGCACTTGTCAAGGTTCAGAGGCAAATTTTGCAAATCTTGCAGTAGCCATCGATCATCTTAAGATAAGATATACTTTATTGATCCCAAGTTGGAAACATTTGTGTTACATCAGCATGTGTAACAGTTGTAAATATGCAGTGGTGTTTATTTTTAGTGGTGTTTCATTCAATGCATAACTACACCGTAGTTGTGTATATGATATGTCAATAAACCTTAGAAAATCTTAAAATCTTGAAAGGGATGTGCAAAATAGTCATTATATACAGTCTTTAATTAACTATTAGTAGAGAATAACGAGTAATGAATATACTTTATAGGGATCCTATTAATATCTAACAATAAAATAATGAAATTCAATAACATGCTTTAACCACTAGGTGTCCCTTTATATCAGCTGTGCACCGGTGTAAATACAGCCTATCTACCAATTGGATCAAATATAAAAGTCAGCCGAATTAGGGTTGATACTGCAAAGAGACATATTGTGTGAAAATAAATGATAAATTATGATCCACGTCACGTTTTCAGTTTTGGCGGCAGTTCTCCTGTTTAAGTCTTCTCATCAGGGCTCTATAAATAAAGAACTACGGCAGATATGTAATATTTAATGCAGCCGAACCGTGNCACACCGCCCGGGCAACGAAGGAGTGGCTTCGTAAGAAGCATTTCAAGGTCCTGGAGTGGCCTAGCCAGTCTCCAGATCTCAACCCCATAGAAAATCTTTGGAGGGAGTTGAAAGTCTGTGTTGCCCAGCGACAGCCCCAAAACATCACTGCTCTAGAGGAGATCTGCATGGAGGAATGGGCCAAAATACCAGCAACAGTGTGTGAAAACCTTGTGAAGACTTACAGAAAACGTTTGACCTCTGTCATTGCCAACAAAGGGTATATAACAAAGTATTGAGATGAACTTTTGTTATTGACCAAATACTTATTTTCCACCATAATTTGCAAATAAATTCTTTAAAAATCAGACAATGTGATTTTCTGGATTTTTTTTCTTCTCATTTTGTCTCTCATAGTTGAGGTATACCTAGGATGAAAATTACAGGCCTCCGTCTTCTTTTTAAGTGGGAGAACTTGCACAATTGGTGGCTGACTAAATACTTTTTTGCCCCACTGTACATGTATTGTTTCCTTTAATATATACACAATCCAGTCCACACACTTTCATCCTGCATACAACGGACAGAATATCAGCCTCAATTCAAATCCATTTAATTTGTACAACAAAGGAAGCATGCACCTCAAACATACCTTCAATATAAAAAAGACAATGCTGACTCACTCGTATGTGAACCCCATGTCTCTTCACAAGGACAACACACATGTACTCCATGCTTTGAGTTCTTCAAATAAACAGTTAGTCCAACAGCGACTCATCAACACAACGAATCCTCAGGTAGTGGGTTAAAAAACTCATCCAAGGACATTAACCCTTACCCCTCCACCATAAGCCCCAACTGAATCAAGATCCGACTGTGCAGAAGACACAACGTCAGGATCAGTATACAGTGCCACCCACACTGACAGTTCCATGTAAAGTGACATAGTACAGGCAGATATTTAAATAAAGTATTGGGATCTAAATGCAGTTTGAGTGATAATGACCTTGGCACTGCTACGGCTCCCCACTGACATCTGCTCATCGTCGTCAGACAGCTGTGAGAGGGGACACAATGAGAGGAGGGTTAGGGTCCAGGAAAAGGGTCCCCATGTCAGGGTCAACATTAGGTGAGAGTGATGAGTGGATTATGACAGGACGTCTCCTGCTGCAATGACAAATGGTTCAAATGACAGTGGTAACTTTGTAATTTACAAAATTCTCACAAAACCAAATAAAAGAAGCTTTTTAAGGAAAACATGAATCATTTAATCTAAAAAATGACTATAACATACCTCAAGGCTTGAATACAGCTCATTTTCAAATAAAAGCTGTATAAGTTATCTCCTTCTCTTTTTTCACCAGTTTCTCTTGTTAACAAAAATATTTCTCTCATTCGAGATTTCAACTCTACTATTTCTACTCACAGCCATTATACGAGTATGTATGGTGTCTGCACATACACACACCATACATGGATTAAACTGAGGCCACATTAGATCCTGCCTATGGTCTTCAGGATTCCTATTTCCATGTAACGTTTTCCGAGTGGTGGAGGACACATTGCAAGGGAAAAGCACGAGGAGATTGAAAGAGAGGGAGTGCTACAAACCGTGTGTATCCGTGAAGAACGTGAGCATCTCTCACTGTCCTCCTGGACGAGGGAGAGGGAGGGGGAGGGGGGTAGGTGGAGAAGAGAGGAGGTGAAGGGTGAAGAAGAGGAGAGAGATGTCAGAGATCAATGAGACAGATGAAGGAGGGTCCATGAATCTGAGGTCAGTCAGGTCCATGTTTCATTTCATTTAGGACCCTGATGTTGTGACAGTGGGTTCATTACGGCCCAGATGATTCTTCATTCCTCAGATAGAATGAAGATTTGGTGGGCTGAACTGAATGTCCTTTTTTTTATTTGTTCAGCTTCTATTGAAGATTCCCCCAAAAAGTTAAAAACAATCTCAATTCGAATTAAGGGATTCTTCAGATCAAATAAATGTTTTCAGTGAAACCACTTCCTTTAATAAACATAACTTAATATAATATATATTTGAATAATATTAGTGTAACCTAATGTATCTGCAAAAAAGAAAAAAAACCATTAGACATGTTGATTTCAAATGTGAACCATTAGACATGTTGATTTCAAATGTGAAAATTATGAGAAAAGCTTTGTAGCTGCTACAGCCCTAAAATATGTGTCTACAGCATTGCAGACCATACTAAACAAATAAATGTTAGCAAACACTAGCATACATCACCTGCTTTTTGTTCATTTCAACAGATTTGCACAATTCCTGCATTAAACAAATCAAGATCACTTTTTACTTGATAATGGAGCACACATAATCAGACGTGCACGTCCCTGAAACCCTCACTGAGCCAGTCATTCAGAAACAAACCTCGCATTGCAACATGCACTCAGTGAGTTTCTTTAGTAAACAACAACAACAACAAGTCCACACAATGCAGTTAGTGAACCTACAGGTCACACTCTACAGTGTTTAAACCCCTGAGGGTCTGGGACAGTGTCTAAAGTGGTGATTGAACTCAGTAAATCCCATGCAGTGTCACAGCAGAGGGGCAGATGGTCAGACTGACTGAGTCACACAGGCACCCCGCTTCTTTGAATAAGTGGATTATCATTAATGGCCAAGCTTTGACTCTTTATAATCCCATATTTTGTAAAAAGGCTTAACAGGAATGATCTGAAATGCAGCTGCAGACTGCACACTACAAAAGCCTCCGTCAGACAGGCAGGCAAAAATAAAGAAAACATGCGTAGTGTTAAGTGTTAGTGATGTCATCAGCGCACAGTAACTGTACCATCCATTGTTCAATATCTCCCCATTTGCTGTCCGATCGGTCGTCTACTTTGGTGTTCAAGCCATAATATTTCTGAGAGACAGGAAATAAGGGAGGACAGCTCAGAAAACAGAACACAGGTAACACACTTCCTTTACTTCGGCAGGATCTGAAGCACACGCCACAATGATGTCCGAGGTGGGACTGAGCAAGAGGAGGCCTACCTTCTGCACCTGAAAGATCTACACACCGACGAGACGTAGAGGAGAAAGATCGGAGGATATCAAACATAAAAAAAGGGGAAAGAAATGATAAATCAGCTTTAGAAATAATATTTGATGAAGAAAGATATGAAATCTAAACAAAAAGCAGGCAGCTGCAGTATGTGACGGATGAAGACAGACAGCATGCACGCATGAAAAGTACAGAGGAAGTGTTCTGCTAATGAGAGGAGCTCAGGAATGTTCAGTGCCCCACTGCACATCAGGACCAACAGAAAGTGACCCCAGAACACATGGAGTTCACTGGAGATCTGCAGACTGGGTCCCCAGGCGTTTCCCATGGTTCTTTAGGTGTGGATCAGTGGCAGAAAGCAGTGCCAGGAAATGCAGAACAGAATAAGGAGGTGAGCTGAGCTTACATTCAGACAAAGTGAACAATATCCAGAGGAAGCCCAAACTTGCCAACCAAAACATGTTTTTAATTGTTGGGTAATACACTGATTGCCTTTGCTGCAAAGTGTTATGGCGCATTTCCACTACAGCGCGGAGCACGGTTTAAGCCGTGTCCGGCCCGTGTTTGGTTGCGTTTCCACTTGGCGTAGTTCCGGCAAGCGGGTACTTTTTCACAGTTTTTCTGGCTCTCCAAAATCGAGGTTCTTTCCGGGACAACAACCGGGCTGACTATGCTAAACTAGTGAGAGAATCGCTGGCAACTACAACAAAATGAACATATTTGACCGTGATTTAATTTTAATACACGTTTCAAAATGATGCCGAAGTAACAACATACTGATACCGGTTAGTAAAACCATGAATTAATGCTTTGACAAGTCTGCAGATAGACGGCAGGCGAAAAACCTTTAAAATGCGTGTTTTCTGAATGGAGATCGGCTAAGCTAACGTTGCATATGCTCCGACCGTCCACACTCACAACAACGGCCTACAGACATAAATAAACCAGCGACTGTATTCGCCATGACACAGACAGTCTGCGGTTTGTACTTGTTTAACTTTTG